TTCATGGTTTTAGAAAAAAAAGATTTAAGGCTCAAAATATTTGGTGCCCACCCACTTCATGATGTTCTCCAATCCTATGTTCAGTTAATTCAACATGAGCGTTCATCTCTCAAAAGGATTTTGTGACGGTCAAGGAAACGACGAGGCTTTCGGAGTAGAAACCACCCTCATGTCTTCGTGTTTGTAGTCACCAATTTGTTCTTTGCTGAGGACTTTTCTTTGCAGTCCTTTTCTTTTATTTTCCCTAACTTTTGCCTGAACTAATTCCTTTGAATTGATAGTCCAGCGGGATGCCTTAGTTTTTGCCTAAGTCACATGTTTTCATGTTTTTTGACTTAGCAGGCTTTTCTTTTTCTCGATTTTTGACTTTTTGAACAAAATGTGTGACATTAGCTTGTCTTTGCTTGTTGAGAGGATTATGATTGCCTCGTTTCTTGATGAATGAGGGATAACATTGTGGTTCTACATCCTCTAAATTCATTATACATGAAGGATAGCCCTCATAGTTTCTCTTCAAAAAACATCTTCCTTATGAATTTTGAACACTCAGTTAGATTAACTAAAAACTACCCTGCCCCAGGTTAAAATTCAAGGTTTTTTCGTATAGAAAAGAAACTTCTGCTTCAAAGGCTCGAAAGGGGTTAGCAAGGGATTATCTTCCTTATATCTCCGGTGTTTAGGGATTTGAAACAATGCCTGTACATCATCAGCAAGATTTTATCCAAAAGCAAACAACCAGAGATTTTGTGTTCTTTAGATCATCATCCTCCCTTCAATATCTGCATAGGCAAGAGAATGAGCAACAATTTGGTATCATAGTGCAAAAGCAATTTAAAATTTGAAAACAAATATGAGTGAAACGAATGAATTTCTTCAAGACAAACATACTCATTGTATTAAGATAATCATTCAGATGCAAACAAGTTCTTTCACGCAAACAATGTTTTGATAAACAAGAAAAATTACAAAAAGCATAAATAAGTTAATAATCTGGGAAGGCTTTCCATCTGGACTTGAATTACCGAAAACATCCTTCAAAAATCAAAGTCACTATCAATCGTGTTTACTCTTCGGCGCATGCTTGATTTGAACTTCAAAACCAACATCCTTGAATGACAAGATACCACTTCTGACCAACTTCTGAACCTCAATCTTCAAAGCAAAGCAACCCTCCAAGTCATGCCCAGGAGCACCTTGATGAAAGGTACAAGCCAAATCAGCTTTGTAGTACCAATGTATTTTCTCAGGAACCTCCGGTGGAGGTCGGGTCTGAACCAAATTCCTCTGCATCAGGATAGGGAACAACTCTGTATAGGTAATTGGAATTGGATCAAACTGGGTTTTCCTCTGATTAGGAACTTGCTGATTTTGTTGATGAATAGGAGGAACATGATGATTTGGACGATGAATATTTCTTCCTATGGTTCTCTTCTTGGAAAAGTTATTATCAAACTTCTTCACACCATTAGCTGAGCTACCATCTTCATATGAACATCCCTTCCCAACATCTTCTTCTAGACGCACTCCCACATTCACCTTGTCAGGAAAGTCACTAGGCGCATTAATTATCATCTTCTCATGATTTCAGAGTTTCAGTGAAGACTTTTATCATCGCTTCCTTCCTCCTAGAAGGATTGACTTGGCAGGCAACCAAAATTTCAACCAAACCAGTTGAGTGATCCATACCAGCTTTCAAATTAGTCACCTCTCTGCGGAGTTCAGAAATCTCTTGCTTGATATTCTCCATTGTTTTCTTAGCGCGAGTGTTGTACTCGTGAGACCAAAGGAAAAATAAGACTCGGAAAAAGACCTTTGAAAGTGAAACAAAAAATGTAGAATGATGTATGATATGCAAAAGAGAGTTTTTATTTGATTTTCAAGGAACTCAAGATATTAAATTGTAAACATCAAAGTATGAAGATAAAAGATGAATTTTAAATTGGCTCCAAACATTGATCAAGTTATCATCAAGATCAATCATCCATTTTGGTGGATTAGGGGTTTTCGCCCTATCAACACCAAAGATCCATTGAGCTTGACGAAACTTGTGATGTTCACAAAGAAAGACCTCCAAATTCCTTCAAATTCAAGTGAAAAGGGTTTTATGGATGCATGAATGCATGGCTATGCCACAACCACAAGCAAGGTCACAAATAAAGTCGAAAGGTTCAATATCACGAGCATGGAGTCAAGGTAAGGAACACCCCCAAGGTATGTACTAACGGTTTAATCACACCTGTAGAACAAGGTTCTAAGATTTCCCGGAGTCTACATTCCTCCTTCGGATATTACCAATGTCTTGATTACTCAATAATCAGCAATATTCTCAAGAGAAACTCATCCGAGCGTAGCATCGCGTAACAATTACTTCCGGATTACTCCGTTATAATCTCCGCACTACACCTAAAAGGCCAAGATGGGTTAGGGTTCTACGGAGCCCAGCTTCTCTGGCTCCCAGGTTGAAAATAATAATGTCTTCCCATTTACTCGGTAAACAAATATTACGTTCAAAAGGGCCATCCACTGAGTGGGGGATCTCATGCCTCCTTCTTCGGGATTACTCCCTCAAAGTTAACATGACTATACCTCCCGTCCTATTCCTAAGTGTAACTTAGTCCGGGTATAGGACTTGTCCTTTGTAAATATTATCAACACCCAAATAATCATAATATATAAATATAATCAAACAATCAAATAATGATAAAACAGATAAAACAAATTAGGCTTAACCCACTTAGGGATGGACCAGCAAGAGGTCAATTATTCCCCAGCAGAGTCGCCAATTCTGTAGCGGTGAAAATCGGAGATCAAGCTATTAATTAAATTGACTCACAAAAAGAAAGAGTCGCCACCGCGCTTTATTATTTCCAAGGGAAAAGGGAAAAGAGCGAAATAAAACCCTAAAATATGCAATGTAAATTAATATTTAAAAGTAATGAAAATACAATGCGTTTTTAAAAGAGATCGAGAGTTTGGGGGTTGGTTATACAATGGGAAGGTATTAGCACCCAATGCATCTGCGGTACTCCGCAGGAACCTTTTGAAATATCTGTTTTTTGGTTAAAATTGTTTGTTTGATTAAAAATAAATTGTTTTGGTTAAAGTGGTTTGTTTGGACTTGTTTTGAAGATACGACGACCTAGTGTCGAAGTTTTGGCTTAAAAAAAGTGTGAGTTTTAAAATTGAGTCTTTTGGGGAAATTATCTTAAGTTTGGCGAAATAGTAAACAAACAAAAAAATGAATGAGGGTATTCGCATGATCGTATGAGATATGTTCGATGACATGAAGTCAACAAATTTAATTCTTTCCCTTGGAGTTAAAACCACAGACAGATAAATAAGCTAAGAGTATATCAAACCTCAGGTGAAAATAAATCACAAGCCGACAACATTAAAAAAAACCTGATGTAAGATAATACTCCAAGCATCAGATAAAACGCAAAGGGCGATGGATAAAGCTCACGGTGTCAGATAAGAATCCCTGCATCACAAGATATATACCGACAAATCTAACAGCACGGGGAAACTTGTGTGCGTCCGCAAAATTTTCAGAAGTTAGTTGGAATTAAAAATAAAATCACAATGCGATGAAAATAATATTTTCAAAACCTGAATTTATTTACAAGTAAAATATACAGTCAAAATATTATGTATAAGTATATATTTACAATATCAAATATTAAATCAAAATAGTGAAATACAATAAAAAGGTAAAGGGAGAAGTGTAGGAATTATGGATGTGTTATATGAGAATGAATACTTGAAACGATTTTTTTGGAAACCTTCACAGTAACAAACGCGTTAGTAGCATAAGCGGTATAAAAACTAAAATGAATGAAATTGCAACGATTAAAACATGTGTTAGTAAGTGTAAAATAAAAAATGAAATTGTATGATGCATATGAATAAACGAATATTTACATAAATCAAAATCAAGAATTCATGATATTGCTCAATGTAAACACAAAAATCAACATTACACACATTATTTGAAATGTATCAAAAGCAACTGCTATTTCAAACACAACGGAAAACAAAAATCCAAAGTTCACTTTGCAACATGAGAAATTGAATTCAAAGCATGAACCAAACAAATGATGATTATCCAACAATTTAAATTCACAAACAAAGCCAAAGAAACTCATGCCATAATTCAATTCAATCCATGAAAAATCAAACATTATCAAACATCATCAAAAGTTAGACAACAACAAATTATGCATAAAAGCTCATGAAATTCAATTTCCAAGTGATTCTAAACATATGTACAAACACCAATATTAAACCAACAAACCTTGTAAATTGATTTCAACTTGAAACGTAATCAAAACCATTCTTTAAAGTCACTTAAAACAGCATGATAACATCAACACCGACAATTCAAAATTATGCCAAAATTACATTAAGCTCAAAAAGTGATGAAAATAAGTTTTGAATCAATGTTTCGGCGAGGTATAAATTCGGACAGCAACCAACACAAATTGTTAACACTCGATAAAAACACCTCAAAAGGATTCAAAACTCATAAGAAAATCAGGTGATGCACCAACCAGTTTAACCTTATCATTAGACTTGACATAAACAAATTAATCACAATTTCAACAAAACAATAACATATTTACAGACTCAAATGATTTCCAAATACAAATTAGTACAAACTTATGAAGTTTCCAATTGAACCGTTAAGACATAAATCATGACAAACCTCAAGTGCATTAAATCAGAACTTCATGAATGAACAAATTCAGTTATGCTTAAATGACTTGGAGATTTTAACAGATTATTCACAAATCAACATAACATATTTATTAATAACAATCTATTTACAAGTTTTTCATAACAAAACTCCAAGAATAAGCCAGACAAAAAAACAGGCATGATGCTTTTACTAGATTCAATCCTCATTCCAAATAACCAGATCAAGCATTAACACTAACCTGTCAAACACAGCAGTAGAGTTGTAGTGGCGTTGGATATTTTATGCCAAAGCTTGGAGGCAGCTAGTTGACAACATCAAGAACCAACTTGCGGGACTTGAGAACAGACCATCGACGACGGCGATAATATGCAGCTTGAAGTAATGCCAATGAAAGTACAAATATCCATTTAAATCCCATCAGTTTTCTTTCTTCCATCTCAGGTTCTACAACCCAAGACAAAAATGACACGACATCTTTCCCCATCTGAGCTTCTGTAGCAGGGGTACCATCTTCATATTCAACAGCACCATCATTAAGTTTCAGGGCAAACCAAATTTGGACAAGGCTGATTGGAATAAAGTCCAGAATGCCTGTGATCAGCTTTGGTCATCAGCTTTTATTTTAATTTGTGACTTGGCCGATGACGTGTTGATAATACACTCCAAAAGATATATAGATGCTTCTTCAGCCTTTTGAGCAAAGAAAAAGAACTTGAAATTAGGAGCCTGGCCGCCAGATGCAATGTACTGTATCTAATGACTTTGCATGTGTCGTAGGAGTGCGTGGGGAGTTGTCAAGGATGCAATTCCAAGAGGGCTTAATGAATATTCCTCTGATAAGGATATCGGTAGTTGACGCCATTTCTACTGAAATGTGCCAGGATCCAGTACAACTTTTGGGTTGAGGGTCAATGGGGAAGGTGGCAGTGTGGTTGGAGTCCCAACTGAAAAATCTAAACCAAACAGATCATCAATTGCCATGATAGATGCTGGAGCTTGACCAGTTGCACTTGTATTTGAAAATGCCAAATCTGCAAGTGGTTGTGAAGTAGCAGAAGGGGCAGATCCATTATAGGAAGGAGCGTTATATAGTGAGTTACTGTTGGAAACCGCGGAATGGATGGAAGTTAGGTGATGCGGCGATGATGATTGAACAGATTTTGTAAGGTGATATGAGATTGAGCTGTTACGGTGGATTGGGAGGAGGTGGCCGGAGAGATTTGTGTCTGGGACGGAGGATTGCATGATTAGGGCGGTGATACGGTGAAATTTGATGTCGCACTCGACACAGTACCAGTCACAGTAATCTGTTTTTGGGTCCCATGAGGCTAGAAGGTATGGGTTGTTGAGTTCTTGTTTGATTCTGAGGAGAACTTTCTTGTCTTGTGGGTTGCATTTCTCAGAGAATGTAACTGGGGAGAGTAACAGGAGGGACAAGAAAGTTAGAGCTATTGCAGCTCCATTAAACACGATTCTCATTTTTGGTGGGGTTTGGAGTTTTACAAGGTTGAATGGTGGTGATTTACAGTGGAGTAGTGTTGTTGTTAAGGAGAAAGAAGGAGATGTTAATGATGGTGGGGTAATCAAAAGGAAGCGGAAGGAGATGTTTGGGTGAAGGTGTTTGTGGCTTTGGGAATCGTTTTGGGACATTTAGCCATAAAGGGTTGGGAACAATGGAAGAAAGCTGAGGAATGAGGGTAAGGTGTTTGATGAGAGAATGGTGTTGAATTCCCTGACGAGTGAATATGATGTGAAGAATTTCAAGGCTTTGATATTGTTTTCAGGTTTAATCCAATCCGTCCAAAATTATTAAATCTGCATCTAACCGTTATTTTTGCTAACAGCCAATAAGAATCAAGCACAATGTAAATAATATTTTTTTGTGACCAAATAGCCCTTAAATGACAAAAATAACCAAAAAAATAAATGTATTAAAATTAACTCAATTTAAAATGATTTTTTGAATATTTTATGAATAAAATATAAAGACCCAAAATGACCAAAAATGATAAAAAACAGACGAAAATTTATCCGAAAAAATAAAATGAACACATTAAAATAATCTACATGTCACAAAGATTAAAGAAAAAAATATTCAAGAAGTCAAAAAATCAAAAATAAAATAGTAATAAAAATATCAGACTAAACAGACGTTGAAGGTTAAAAACGAGACCTCGAACTGTACCGAAAAAATAAAGCAAGCATACCGTCATAATCTACGCGAAGCGCAGATTCATAAAATGATCGGTAAAAAGGTGAAAACTTGAAATATTTTTCTCGCTAATTTTTCGTACATTGTTGAATCGCTTTTAACAGTTTGTCTATAAAACCAAAATATTTTTATTATCGACATATAAACAACTTGGAGCAGTGCAAGAAAATAGTAAACAGATAAAATTGAATGAAATGAAATGTCGAGTATTTTACAACTGAAAGACGATGCAAACTTTGATTTAAACTGACTTTTCTGGTCAATTTAAATACGACTAATGATGCAAAATGTGATGAATGAAGATATTTACTAATGATTGTGACCAAATAACAAAATATGGTATGAAAGTGCGACTAAAACATATTAGGGGCGAAATTAAGGGTGCAACGGTTGTGCCTTGATGAATCAGTCTTCGAGAATCCACAATCAACCGTACTTCGGGCTTGGGGGACTCAAAACCTTAATTGAGGCACGACACCTGATGCTCTTGATTCAGACCTGTCTCTGCACATGACACAAAAGAAAACATGAACATACACCTTTGTATGCGATTAGAAATTAGTGATGCATAGGCTAAAAATGTTCAAAACACTTGACAATCTTCACATAGTCAAAGCTCGAAGGTGAGAGGTTAAAACCGACCGTATTTTGTGACCTTGACTTATCTTAAAAAATGCAAAAATAAAAATGGGATCTTAGGTCAAAAATTGGGGTACAACAAGAGGGAAAGGACGACACACATCTTCATTAACAAACGGAACCAAATTCACCAAAGGAGGTGCAGCAGGAACAGTATGCACCACAAGAGGTGCAGGAGTAAAAACATTTTGAACCACTAGAGCATATTGAGGGCCAAAATGGAAACCTTCAGGCGCAGAATTCTCTGGAATTCCCCACGGATAACCCTGAGGCACACGGTTTTGAACAACAGTCGGAGTAGCGGATACAGGAACAGCTGGAACTTCAGCATTTGCCCTTGTTGGTTGAGGTTGAACACTTGGTGGCTGATTCTGAGCAGCCACCAGATCTTCCATCAAAGTAGTCAAGTTGGCCAAGCCAGCCTTCAAAGCAGAAACTTCTTCGCGCAGCTCGCGATTCTCCTGTTCTAAGTTGTCCATCTTCTTTTTAAAGTTAGTCCGAGTGTTGTAGTGATGAGTCAGCTTGTTGAACGAAGTAAAGAAGCTGAGTAAGACACTTGGATATGCATAACAAATGCAAGAAATATGTGCAATATGATGCATGATATGCATATTATTATTTTTATTTTATCATTTAATATTTCAAGGGATTTATGGTTTATAGACACATTGCAAACATCCAAATAATAAAGCTTTTGAAATACTGAAATTTTTTATTATAATAACTTCCAAATGGATTACAAGTTTCAATGATCCCAAGTACAAGATAAGAATAAAATCTAAAATCTTGAGAAGAGGAACTAATGGAGATCAATCTGTACATTGGCGCTTCCCTGTGAGCCTGGAAATCTGAGCTCTCAACCTCTAGTTTTCTTCCACATGTCTGATGGCAACCTCCTTCCAATCATATGAAGCAGGAAGTGAGTAATCAACACATGTTTGAGGCTTAGGAGAAAATAAATCCCCTTGCCTCTCCATAGACTCCACTGCTCGACTCTCAAGGATGTCGATCAAATCATCTTTCTCCTTCAGGTCTTCCCTGTAGGAACTCTCTAAATTCTGGAACTTGTTCTTCCAAGCATCCCTTTCTTGTTGCATCCTAACCAAAGCAAGTTGCAGCTCTTCTAGATCATCTAAATCAGGAGGAGTGGTCTTCACAAACAAATCAGACATGGGTGTCTCTCGAGTATACATCATCTTCAACTGAATTGCTCTCGATTGGACCCACTGAAGATATGGCTCCAAAGAAACAACACCTCTAGGTCCCAAATTCTTCCTAATCTTCTTATGAATGTGACGCCAGGCCTTCGCAATCTGCTCCTTAGCTTCCCTGTGGTCTTCTCCTTCCTTAAAAAAGAAACTACTCAGGTGAATATTGTTTGGTTTATCCCTCATCGGATAACCAAGTTGTCGCCGTGCAAGAACAGGGTTATAGTTAATTCCTCCCTTTGTACCAAGAAGAGGCACATTGGGGAAACTACCACAACTGTCAATAATCTCCACATCCTGGTAAGCTCGATGATACCAATCAATATCCGAGTGAGTAAGTGCCATGATCTTAGGAGCCCAACGGGGTTCCTTCTTGACATCCCAAAAAGCATCAGACTGAGGCATATGAGAGATAAAACACCGGTAAAACAAAGGCGTGCAACAGATAATCGTTCCCCCATGATAGGAACTCCGAAGATGAACAGAGTAATAAGCATCACCCAACAGTGTAGGGACCGGGTTTCCAATCATGAAAATCCTGATAGCGTTAATGTCGACAAACTTGTCCATATTAAGAAATAAGAATAATCCATAGGCGAGTAAAGCAAAGATGGCCTCAAAAGCAACCGTACTCTTCATCCTGGAAAAGTAACGAGCTTTCTCCAATAAGAACTGAGCTGGTAATCCTCTAATCCCTCCTTTGGTAGTCATATGGGCTTCCACCTCAGACTTCCCCAGATGAATCAAAGCAGCAATTTCATGTGATTTCGGCTCACCCTCCAAACCAGTAAAAGGAACACGATCGGTAACAGGTAAATCTAATAGATAGGAATACTCCTCCAGTATAGGCATCAACTGATAATCGGAAAAAGTAAAGCAGTGATACACAGGATCATAGAACTGGACCAAAGTCGAGAGAATACCCTCCTTCATCTTCAGCTTCATGAGAGGAATAATGGATCCATACTTCTTCCGAAAGTCTGCAGGATACTCAATCTCGGGAATCAGACTGATCAACTCATCTATCTTGGGATCCTTGAAACTGTATTTCCCAGTCTTTCTCTTTCTAGAATCCATGGTTAAAAGTACCTGAGATATTCACAAATAGTCAACCTTTAAATCCCTTGAAATATTATTTTCTTCAAAAGATGCTTATGAGTGCATGGATGCATGATACAACAATCACACACAAGATCACACATATAGGGTTCATAGGTTCAATGTCAAGAGCATGAAGCCGAAGGTATTACCCATAAGGTGTTGGTCTAAAAAGTTATCACTTGCCGAACAAGGTTCTAAGAGGTTCCCAGAGTCTACATCGTTCCTTTGGATATTACCAACTTCCCGATTAACTCAGCAATTAGTAATATTCTCAAGAAAAACTTGTCCGAGCGTAGTATCGCGTGATAACTACTTCCAGATTACTCCGTCATAGCTTCCGCACTACACCTAAAAGGCCAAGATGGGTTAGGTAATCTACAGTCCTCAACTTCGGCAGGCTCCCAGGTCGAAAGCAGTACGTCTTCCCGATTACTCAGTAAACGACGCTACAATCAAAAGGGCCTCCACTGAGTGAGGGATCTCATGCCTCCTTTTTTTGGATTACTCCCTCAAAGTTAACATGACTATACCGACCGTCCTATCTTAAAGTTTGTCCAAGTCCGGGTATAGGACTTATGAGTAATCACCAAGCACCCTGTAAACCAGGAAAATCCAGATAAACATATATACAAAATATAACACATAAACACAGTAATACATATACAGATATAACAAACATAGGCTCAACCCACTTAGGGATGGACCAGCAAGAGGTAAATTTGTCCCCAGTGAAGTCGCCATTTTTCTGTAGCGGTAGAAATGTTCAAGACTAAGCCATTGGATTGACTAGACTTTATACAAATCAAAATAAAAATCGCCACCGCGCTTTATTGTTTCCAAAGGAATTGGAAAAGAGAGAATAACCCAAAAAGGGATAAAGATTCAAGGTAAGGGGGTTGGTTATGCAAAGGAAAGGTATTAGCACCCTAAACATCTACGGTACTCCACAGGAACCTCTTTGAAAAATCTGTATATTTTGGTTATGAAAATGTGTTATATATAAAATGGATGGTGGAGGTGAGAAAAGAAATATTTTTTATGATTTTTGCAGCCGCCGTGGTTGCGAACCTTTAGTGCCTACGTACCACCTTTCGTGCAATAGGGGATCAGGGTACACGTAGTTCCTCTTTTTAAAAAATTTGAAACACAAGTGTGTCGGTTAATTTTATGAGATAAGACATCATCGTCATTGTCCGTGTGGAAAATATACTTACTACCCACAATTATGAGAAAAGAGAATTTGCATCATCTCAAAGTGGAGGATATAGCTTGGATTTTAAAATCAACAACGCCTCACTCAACACCCAAGTGGAAAATAT